AGAATGGGGATTTTGCAGTATCCTTCCCCTGGAGTGGGGAGAGAATGGGGATTTTGCAGTATCCTTCCCCTGGATTTGGGGTTTTCATGAGTTGTACGCCATAATTATCACAACTATGACAAATCATGGCTTGAACTATCTTGCTTTGCATGTAATGAGTCTTATCTCATATATTAGTTTCACCTTTTAAGTTGCATTACTGAAATAAATGAACTTTTGCACTATATTCTAATTTTTCGAGTTTCACACACACACATATATATCACATGCAATAACTGGAAGAAGAAAAAAGCTTTTCCACTGAAAACTTTGTTCTATAGCAGGAGTAGAAAATCTCCAAGCAATTTGAGAGGTTGATGGAAATTAAAGTTCAGCTATATTGTAGAAGTCAAAGATTCTATGTAATATCTATTTGTGCATGGAAAAGTTTGTGTATAATTTAAAAAATTATTGTCACAAATATGGAAGGGCAAGGTTTTTGACCTGTATATTAGGATAATGTATCTTCCTTCCAGTGGCATCTACAGCAACTTCCACATCAACCCCGGCCCCTGTAACGTGGACTTTTTTCCTTCCTGGTTGATGTGAGGAAGAGCTGGGTTTCAGTGATGGTGAATGAATCCTTGAGAGAAGAGGAACTGCCTTCCTCTGAGGGAGAAAGTGATGTGCCCCTTCTTAAGGAACCAGAAATACAAAATAAACTCTTTCTGAGGAAAGAGAAAATGGTAGAAAAAATGCAAAAAGCCTTGAATGAAACAGATTATTTGGAACTGTTGCAATCCAGTTTCAGGCCTGGATTGAGTACAGAGATAGCTCCTGGTTGCACTTGGGGGGACCTGGTTAGAGATAGTGCACTCTGCTTCATCTCTCAACAGCTTTTGATACCACTGATTGTTTATCCTTCTGAGTGGAGAATATGGTGTTGCCCTCGTTCTCCCCCAGATGCTGTCAGAGTGCTGTCCAGGTGTCTGGAAGCTGCTTGGATCTGGAAGGGGAGGAAAAGGGAGAAACTCACCAAGGCAGAATAACATTGGGTTTGAAGACCTGCTGATTCCAACAAGATGCCATCTTTAGTTCTGAATGTGATTTCATTTACATAATCAAACTGGTTTATAATTTGGAGGTGTCAGGTCCTGCTTGAAAACCATGTTGTATATGGAGCAAAGTGGGTTATAACTCTTCTTCTGCACTGGTTGATGCCAAAATAAATAATACATGCCTAGTGGTGATATCACGTAAATGCTGCCTTCTTTTGTTCTGAGAAAATACTTACTGTAGGCTGCTGTACCAAGTTTATATTCTTTTGATGAGCACGAGTGCACCGAAGCTAATTGTCAATAGCCTCATTTATGTTCTCAGTGATGAGAAAAAGCATTGAAGAGATTGCTTCCCGGAGAAATATTTCTAACCTGGCCTTCTGATCATGTGATAGCCAATTCCATTTGTAAAACTCACTGGCAGAGAACAAACTCTTTGTTTTAAAAGAGGAAACAGCCTGCTTGATTTGCTGTGTCTCTTCATCTTTACTCCCCTCCCCCCCCTCTGTGTAAGTAACTATGTAATGGAACTCATGTGGGACATCCTTGAGAGGAATATACGTGAGGGGAAATAAAGGACATATGTGCCCAGGGTATCCCTCTTTTTAATCCTGAACATACTGATTTCTTTCTTACAGCCAGACCCATATTGAGGAGCCCAGGCTCCAAAAGCAGCTAGTAGTGAGTCAGTGGAAGCCTCTTTCAGCAACTAACAGAGGACAAGAGTTACAGCTCCCAGAGCCTTCTGTCAAGAGCCTGGCTGGTGGGGAGGAGACCCTGTCATTGGCACAACTGAACGTCTCCCGCTTACGCAGCTCCTCGGTAGAAATCCGTGAGAAGGGTTCTGAGTTCCTGAAGGAGGAGCTCCATAGAGCTCAGAAGGTAAGCATGAGGTTAAGAAGGGATGGAGAATTTGGCTACTAGCCCTAAACCCACTTGTTATCAAGCTTAAAACATATGCTCAGATGTTGCCTCTCAGTGGGTCCAAAAGCTTCATCTGAATTGCTTGCCAAGAAATATTGAGTTTTTGTCCATCTGCATTAGGAAATTGACATTTTGTCCTGCCGCTCTGCTTGTCTTTAGGTGTTTGTGAGCTACATTGATTCCATTCTGTCCAAAGCTATTTCATATCAATTCATGAAGTAGACAGTTGCTGAGCAGGTAAAACGCTAGAATACTATTAGGAAATTCAAACAGAAAATGAGATAATTTATGTTATTCCAATTTTTTTCTGCTAGGTTTTTACTGTAGAACCTATGATTCCCCTGATACTCTCTTTAAGTTCATACATATATTATTTAAGCCCATTTCATATTACTGATTTTGGTGATTTTCTAAATAGAACTTGGATCAAATTTCTTAATTTGGTTTCACAAATCTTATGCTTCTACAGAACCCTTACTACTTCCTATTCATAAATGATGATATGTTCCTTTTGAAGCAGGAATCATTACATTTTAATGCTTCTATGTAGTTTGGGCTGCAGAACAGACTGGCTGCAAGACCAGGGTTTTCCATAACAAACTGGATAAGAACTGGAATTTGGGATGACACACTTCCCACATTGTGCTGGCTAGGCAAACAAGAGTTCCAATCTGTTGCTTCTCTAGATTCCAGACTCTGATCGACAGCTGGTTTTCTTTCCCCTCTGCTCATATGATCTGCCTCTAGATCACAGCTGAGGACTTTGTATAGTCAGCTGAGAGTCTCATATTGCCTTTGGTTGCCCATAGGGAAGCCTAAATTACGGTATGCTATTTAGTGGGTTTATTTTCTTTATGCTTTTCTTTATATTTGACAATCTGCAGTTGAAGTGGTAGGAAAGTGAATTCCACATTTTCTAGGCTACATGTCCAAGTCCAGCTTGTGCCATTGCCTCCTTCAGTTAATATGATTTTTTGGCAAAGCAGGCCTACTAAAAGTTTTGGTTGAGGTTTGTAAAACTACTTTCAGTTTTATAGGGGTAGACAATTTTCAACAAATTTCAGTGTATGATTGATCTGTGGGGGTGTACGTGTGTCTCTGTCTCTCTGTCTCTGTCTCTCTGTCTCTCTCTCTCTCTCTGTAAAATAGAATGACTATCATTATCTCTTGTGTTTTCTCTCTGCAGGAATTAAAGTTGAAGGATGAAGAATGTGAGAGACTTTCCAAAGTCAGGGAGCAGCTGGAGCAGGAACTGGAAGAGCTGACAGCAAGCTTATTTGAGGTACTGCACTTTTTAAACTTGAACTTGGCATCCAAATCCTGAAGGTAATGGTATGGATCTTTTAGAAACCAAGTCCAAAGTTGAGTTTAAGTATTTGGTGTACATCTTTGAAAACGTCTCTTTGGACACTAGGATCCATGCATCTCTTCTCATCCATAAAGTATGTTCTGACAGACTTTGAAAGCCGTATTTGCTGAAAGAACAGAATTCTATGTTGGAGTTTTTTGGATTGTATTATTTCAGATTATGGACGTTTTAATGATTTACCATTAACATTTTGACCCAGGGGATTTCCTAGAGCTGTATTTTATATGTTCGGGAAAGCTTTACTGTGTAGGAGCAGTGAAGCTCATATTCCACTGGAAGAAGTTAGATCCAGCAAAAGCCACATTGTGTTGTTTCTTTGATTATGTAGGCCAGCACCAACAGGAACTGGGTGTTTGCATAAGAGCACTCTCTCCTCAGTTAGCAGAGCAACCATTTCTCTTTCCCTAAAGTCAGCAGAATCTGAGCTGGTGCATTTTCTGTCTCATTACCCTGATGTGTTGTAGTCCTCAGAGGAATGGAAATTTCTCCTTTTGTATGGATGCATAGCCTTTCTCTGGGGGAAGAGGCTATTCATCCATGGCCTTGGGTCAGAGAGGTGTGCAGTCGTTCTCTTGCCATTGAACATTATCTAGAGATGAGTGAGAAATTTACTCAGTTCCCATATTTCAGGGAATTTATCCAATCTGATCTTTCTGAATTCTTATGTAAACTGAAATCTGAATTTTACGATGCACTTTGGAATAAAACAAAAGGGGGAGATGTACACAAAAATTTGTGCATGTTTTCTTAAAAATCAAAATTGCAAACTGGTACAGCACTAGGCCTAACTCACTCAGGCTGGAAAAAGGAGAAATGGAATATAATCTAAGTGGATATGTCCTAATTTTGAACAAATTTGAGAGAGGTTGGGTTCTGCAATCCACATCTAATTCAGATAGTCTTCCTTAACAACTGCATTTGGGACAGGTAACTCCGTAGCAAGGTGACACAATTTTTAAGTGAACTATCATCTGACTTACATGGGTTCCACTGTGGACAGCAAGTGAATCACCTATGGTTATTAAATACAGTGTCATGTGACTGCATCTTGCAACTTACTGCTGGCTTCCCCATTGCTCTTGCTTGTCAGAAACTGACTGTGAAGGTTGCAAATGGAAACTACATATTCACAGCACATGACTGTGACTGTTGTAAGTTTAAGGACCAGTGACAAACCTATTTTTCAGTACTGTCATAAATGTGAACAAATGCTAACTAGGGCAATCAATATCTGACTATTGCTTCTATGTAAGTGTGTGGTGGAGGGAGGCTTGTTTTCATCCATTTGCAAGGTCATATTGACTGAAGATACACCAGGATAAGCTAATAACATTCACCTGTATGGCTTCAGGTTACTATTAAATATAAATTGAATACTGAATGCTTTGTTTATTTTTACTTTGCTCTGAAGAATATTATGTGGTGCTCTCTCAAACACATTCCCAAGGAAAATTACAAAAATAGAAGTATAACATGCAGGAGGAACTCCACACATTATAAAAGTAGTTTAAAATTTCCAGTCAAACATAAAGCTCTTTGTGGCCTGCACACTCTGAATCATGTGAGGATCTAATTATTTGTATTGGTGAATTAGGATTCAGCTAAGAGGATTTGTAACAGCCCTAGCCTCTCAAAATTCCAAAGTATTCTGTGGCAGCCCCATTTAGACCTGATAAATAAAAGATACACTATATTGCCAAAAGTATTCGCTCACCCATCCAAATAATCAGAATCAGGTGTTCCAATCACTTTCATGGCCATAGGTGTATGAAATTCAGTACCTAGGCATGCAGACTGTTTTTACAAACATTTGGGAAAGAATGGGTCGCTCTCAGGAGCTCAGTGAATTCTAGCATGGAACTGAGATAGGATGCCACCTGTGCAACTAATCCAGTCGTGAAATTTCCCTGCTCCTAAATATTCCACAGTCAACTGTCAGCTGTATTATAAGAAGGTGGAAGTGTTTGGAAATGACAGCAACTCAGCCACGAAGTGGTAGGCCACGTAAACTTGTCCAACATCATTGTGTGATCTCACAAATGCTCTTCTGGAAGAATGGTCAAAAATTCCCATAAACACACTCCTGAACCTTGTGGACAGCCTTCCCAGAAGAGTTGAAGTTGTTATAGCTGCAAAGGGTCGACCAATGTTATATTGAACCCTATGGATTAGGAATGGGATGCCACTTACAGTACGTTCATATGCGAGTAAAGGCAGGTGAGCGAATACTTTTGGTAATATAGTATGTGTTTCAGTGCAGTATTTTTAAAATAAAAATCTCATGTTTAAAATACAGATAGTCCTCAACTTACAGCCACAATTGAGCCCAAAATTTATGTTGTTAAAGTGAGAAATTTGCTAAGTGAGTTTTGCCTCATTTTACGATTTTTCTTGCTACGTTTGTTAAGTGAAGTTGTCAAATTAGTAATATGGTTGTTCAGTGAATCTGGCTTTCCCATTGTCTTTGCTTGTTTGAAGGTTGCAAAAGGTGATCACATGACCCCGGGACACTGCAACCGTCATAAATATGAACCCGTTGTCAAGCATCCAAATGTAAATCACATGATCATGGGGATGCTGCAACGGTCATGTGTGAAAAATGGTCATAGGTCACTTTTTTCAGTGCTGTTGTAATTTTGAACGGTCACTATATGAACTGTTGTAAGTTGAGGACTACCTGTATTGGTGGTATTTTAATTGATAAGAAGAAAAAGGCACTGAGAAGAGGAAGTCTCACCTTAGAACATACAGTGCATGTTTTTAGCCCGGGGGAAATGTTGTATGGTTATCATCATACTTTCCCTTTTCACTGCTTTTTTATGGTATTGCAAACCACCTGCACAACTGCCATCAATTTGTAGTACATAGAAGTAACAGATATGCAGATGGAAGAGGAACCCCAAAAATAAGCTTGTGGAGAAAAAATTGGATGGAATGTTTTTTTTTAAAAAAATATCATGATTTAATCTCAATCTTCCAACCATCCATGTTGGCTGCACTCATTTTCCACCTTACCCTTTTCTCATAAAGTCTGCAAAACTCACCTGTCACCATTGATCCCAAGAAAAAACTGGGCGCTTCTGCTGTACGTGATTAAATGTTCCTTACTTTAATGTGCCCTCTGAACCAAGTGTTGTTATGGGTGAAAGTTTGGGAAAAGACAGTTGGGCCTCTATTCCACGTTCTTTTAAAAATGTTCTTGTCATTTTTTTTTGAAAAGTTTTATTGTTTTAATTAAACAAAAACACACAAAAATCATCTTTCATTACATCTTGTAGAAAGCGTGTCGATTGGTTACAAATATGTTACAAATACGTGCGTTGCTTCCACAATCATTACATATACTTCATTCAAATTGAATTGTACATTTTAAAATTTATGTATTTTACTATCACTGTACCACATATCTCATTTGACTACAATTATTTAAACGTGCTTTTATCTAAAATCATTTGTATTTAAAGACACAACCATCTACTGGCATACATTCGCAATCTCAATAAACCTCCAATGACTTTACACCTCTATAACATATTCTAAAACAAAGTCAGTTAGTAGGATACCTAAGCATTCCCCCCCCCCAACTCACAAATTAAAGCTTATGTCCAATTTGCTTTTACTGGTACAATACACACACACACACACACATCATTAAACATTATACATTAATATTTCCTTGTTATTATTGTAGTTAACTAAAAATATTCTTGTCATTTTTGAGAACTTGATTGCCTTGGACAAAAGTGTTCTTTTGTTTTATCTGCCGTAGGAAGCCCACAAGATGGTCCGGGAGGCAAACACCAAGCAAGCAGCCTCAGAGAAGCAGCTGAAGGAGGCGCAAGGGAAGGTGAAGAAATCCATTTCATACATTGCCTTCATCCATACAATCATGATGACCAGAAGACATATCTACTAAGCATATGCCAAAGTCAATGAGCCTGACATTGAAAGAGAAGTTTTTAGATAGGGGCTCCCCTCATGATCTGGATAGCAAACCTGCTTGTACTAGTTCCCAACTGTGTGGAGAGTGTGTGTATGCATACAGAAGTTCTGGAGCAGATTTTTCTTTCAGATTAAAGGTAGTGGGAGCCACATGGGTGTAGAATATCTATTGCAGCTCCTTTCTCCTTCCTGGTTGGAGGCAACAGGTTAAAAAAGCCTTTTCACGTGGCAGGGTAGTCCAAATCAAGCTGTTGCACAAGAGCAGGAATTGAACCATACAAAAATGCTTCTGAGGTATATTTTTCAAATGTGTTGTTAGCCTGTTGCCTCCATGCTGATAACTGTAACAAAGCCCAAGCTGATGGGACACGGTTCCTCTCAGTGAATGCTCATGGGAATGTGATGATAAAGCAATAAAAAGAATGCAGTAGGGTTTGTAATAACTTCAGAAAACCAAACAGCTAACATAAATGGGCTGCAATCAAAAAGAGAAATCCTCTATGAAGTCAAAGACCTGAATTTTGCTGAAGCAGGAGACTTGGCTCTAGCTGTCTGAAAACTCGTGTTATTTCACGTGTTTTGGGAAATGTTTTCCATGCAATTCTGGCAGTTCCAGTTAAGAAACAAATCCTGCTGAGTTTTCTGGTGTTTGCTTCTAAAGAAGAGGGAGCAGAAGGTTGTAGCCTTAGTAGGCATGAGCAAGGCCATAAATAGGTGTACTCCTCTGGCTTGATACCAGAAAGAGTTCAGAAAGTATTCAGAAGGCAAAGAAAAGATAAGTCAAACATGTTCTGTCTGCTGAAATGGAGACTTATTTAGCAACTACAGGAAGTCCTCGACTTACAACAGGTTGCTTAGCAATCATTCCATTACAGACCCTGAAAAAAGCTCTTTGTGACCTAGATTCAAAGTTAAAATGTCTGCCTTCACACGACTGTATTTTGGGTGCTTAGCAACCGGCTTACATTTACAGCCATATTATTATTATGGCATTTTTGCTGGAAACTGGTGTTTATTTCCTGTTTGAGGGGAAAAAAACAACCACCCGATAACAATGGGTTTGCTTAACTACTATAGCATTCACTTAATGACTGCTACAAAAAGTCTTAAAATTGGGTGCCACCACATGATGACTTGCTTAACAACCATCATAACTTGTGGTTGAAATTGCACACTGAATTATAGCCATAAGTTGAGGACTACCGGTGTACATTCAAAAACAATCCATACCAAAAAGAAAAAAAGAAAAGGAAAAAAAGAAAGATCAAGTAACATAATGTAGTAAATAACATTGCCTCAAGGAACTGGATAAAGCCTAGCTGTTGGATCCATTGTGAGATTTCTCTTTATGTCAACACTTTATCCCAATCTTCATCCCCCAACCATCCACAGTAACTGAAGCCAATTAGGTTTCATCCCATCCTCTGAAGGAGCAGAAAACATCTTTGCTTCCAGCATGAGAAACCTTCAGGTATTTGAAGAGTCTTGTTCAACCAGTTTGTTCAGAAGACACCAGAGTGTCTTAGTGATACATCACTGATACTTTAGCTTCCACAATCCCTTTTTTGATAACTTCAGAAGAACTTGGTGAACTCGAACTTCTTGTCTATTGAAAAATTCAAGAGGCACAGTTAAGGATTTTTGAAAGAGATTTGTAGCTATGAACTACAGAAAAAAAGCTGCCATTATAATGTGAATATAGCACCATCTGTTGGCAGAGCTGAAGCACATCACCTGAAAGATTTTGTGTTGGATGCTTTACCCAACCATAATATGAGAAATACAGATAGCCCTCAACTTAGAACCACAATTTCTGTTGCTGAGTAAGACAGTTGTGAGTTTGCACCATTTTACAACCTTTCTTGCTACAGTGATTAAGTGAATCACTACAGTTGTTAAGTTAGTGACATGGTTGTTAAGTGAATCTGCCTTTCCCATTGATTTTGCTTGTTGGAAAGTCACAAAAGGTGATCACAAGATCCCAGGACACTGCAACCAGCATCAATACATGCCATTTACAAGCATCTGAATTTTGATCACATGACCATAGGGATGCTGCAATAGTTGTAAGTGTGAAAAATGGCCATAAATCACTTTTTAGTGCTGTTTCAACTTTGAACAGTCACTAAGCAAACTGTTGTAAGTTGAGGATTACCCGTGACCTTCTTTGCATGAACCAATGTTTGTATAAATATTTTTTATATATGCCAGTATTTGTATAAATACAAATTATGCACCAAGAAAATCAGATATGTAGGTAACTAATATATGCAAACATATTTTCCTATTTAGTGCATTCGGTAGCTATGATGTACAGGGGAAAATCTTTATAAAGCTTAGATACTTAACATTTGGGGAAATAAGAATAAAAACATGTAATTTAGAGGATATAAAGCTAATAGCTCCTGAACTCAACTGTCCTGTTTGCTTTAAAGAAGCGCCACAACTGATTGGCTTCATGAATCATTAAATGTTCTCCTGGACATGGCATAATTCTGGGACCAAGTCCTTTGCTGATCATTGCTGATGGCTCTTTGTTTCTTGTCAGATTGACATGCTGCAGGCAGAGGTGACAGCCTTGAAGACATTAGCTTTATATCGTCAACTCCTTCCTCGCCAAATCGGGAATTGCACCCACAACTTCAGAGCCCCACCAAAACAACCTTCAGAAAGGGACATGGACGCAACAAGAGCACCAGTAGCACCGGTGCAATCACAGCTGCTGGCCAGAGTGTGCCCCAGGAGTCAGTCAACAGCGAATTCAAAGAGGTGGGTAAATGTGATTGATCCGTGTCTAGCTTGAAGCCCCGGGAAGAA